AAAAAAATCTCCTGTAGGTAACATCACTGAGGTTGCTGGGAGCCTGGCAGTGGCAGTGTAGTGAAGAGGCAGGGCCTAGAGTATTGTCAGTTAGGAAGTGTGAGTGGAAAGGGCAGAAATGGAGGGCATCAAGGACACAGGGTACTGTGCAGAATTCCCATAGTACAGAGGAAGAAAGTAAGAAACTGTTTTTTTTTTTTTTTTAATTTATTACTATTTCATTTGAGAGATAGACTGAAGAATCTCCTATTTGCTGGTTCGTACTCCAGATGCCTACAGCAGCCAAAGCTGGGCTATGCTGAGCTCAGGAAGTAGGACCTCAAGCTGTGTCTCCCACATGGGTACCAGGGACTCAAGTACTTGAGCTATCATCACCTGGTGCTCCCAGTGTAGGCATTAAAATAAGCTGCAATGAGGAGCAGAGCCGGGACTTAAACCCGTGCAGTCTGTATAGGACACACACTTTTAAACTGGTGTATCAACTGCTAGGCCAAATGACCACTTGTGTGGTCATTTGTTTTTTTAAATGGAAGGCACTATTTATATATGTATGCAAAGTAATGGGTAAGTCCCCAGAGAGACTGAGAAGTTGAGGTATATGGAAATAAAAGGAGTTTAGTATATGTTTGATTACTTAAGAAAGTAAGAGAAGGGTGGACATTGTGATACAGCAGATTAACCTATGGCCTGTAGCATCAACATCTCATATGGGAAAGCACTAGAGGATGGCCCAAGTCCTTGGGCCCCTTGCCTCCCTTGTGGGATGCCTGGATGGAGTTCCAGGCTCCTGCCTTCAACCTGGCCCAGCCCTGGCTGTTGCAGCCATTTGAGGAGTGAACAGTGGATGGAGGATCTTTGACTCTCCCTCACTTTCTGTAACTCTGCTTTTCAAATAAATAAAATAAATCTCTATAAATCTATGACATTATTCTGCGATGAGTTTTATTTCTAAATCTGTCTTCAGCTCCTTGGGTTCAGGCATAGAGGATGGCAACCAGAGATTTCAGGTAATAAAGGGATGAGTAGGCTTTGAGAAAGAAAGGTTGAAAGGCCTGAGAGCATTGACTGGCTTGTAGGTCAGCCTTATGAATGTTGAGGTCGCTCAGAATGTTGGCAGAGTAGGGAAAGACAGGAGAACTTTGAATCCATAATAAATCTTCTGTAAGAGAAGGAAGATTCTGGAAAGATCAGTAGATGAAAGAAATCAGAGAAGAGCATGTTATCACTTAATAGAATGACCTTCAGAAAGGGTGTTTTTTATTATTATTTTAAATATTTATTTTATTTATTTGAAAGGCAAAGTTAGACAAAAAGAGAGAGGCCTTCCATCAACTGGCCCACTCCCCAAATGGCCAGAGCTGGGCCAGGCCAAAACCAGGAGCCAGGAGCTTCTTCCAGGTCTCACACGTGGGTGTAGGGGCCCAAGTACTTGGACCACCTTCCACTGCTGTCATAGGCGAGTAGCAGGGAACTGGATCAGAAATGGAGCATCCCATGTAGGATGCCAGCATTGCACCCTCTACACCACAACGTCAGCCCCTAGTATTTTTTTTGTTTGTTTGTTGTTTTGTTTTACTTTTTGTTTTAAACAAGATAAGTGAGAAAAGATGTCTGCAGGAAGCTAGTGAAGAAACCCGCACCTTGACTCTGACGTTCATGGGCAGGGAAGGAGTGATGAATGAAAAACCACATGAGAAGAATGCAAGGGAAGCAGTTTGCTAAGGGGAAAGCCAGGTTGCAAGTAACGTAAGGTCATGGGTATTTACAAAGGAATAGTTGCAGAGAGTACAGGTGCATTGTGAGGGTTAGGAGCTAGTGAAACGTTCTAGAATATGGCATTCCAAATTGCCAATGCCTCATTTCTTTCAATATGTGAGAACTGCACTGAAGCAAGTTCTACTTTGACTGCCATAGATGAATACTTCAGGGACCAGTGGAGAGAAAAGGTTATATATATCTGGCCACCCTGTTAATTGATTGCTATGGGGGACGCAGTCCAATTCTTCTCCCAGCCATGAGTAAAATTAGTGGCTGGGGAGTGCTGCAGAAGAAAGAAAGCATTCTTTATGTTCATGTACAGGAATGGCAATTCAAAGCATAATAGTAGAAGAAAAATTAACAGAGTTTATCAGTTTAACTTTGATTTACAAGATTCTGAAACATGACAATGGGAGTTATCTGATAATGTGCAGTATCATTACGTTAGTTGAAGAGAAGCTCTCTTGACTTTGTGCATTGAGTAGTGAAAAGCAAGAGGGTCCCTGACAAGTGTGTTTATCAAGTACATCTGCAGTGTGATTTTGCACGCTCAGTTGCAGCCTCTGTCGTTTTTCTCCATGCTCATTTAACATGATGGACTTGTTTGGCAAATCATTCAGGTGGTGGGAGGACAGGAAGAAGAGGAGGCTTACTCTGAATCGTCAAATAAAAAGATATTGGCCTCTCGCACACACTCCAGCTCTTCCTTTTCCTCACCCTCCTCGATCATCATGACTATATGCAGTAAATTCAATACATGGCTGATGTTGAAACCATGCGTGCCTGTTGATTACTTGTTCAGAGTACCGTGGACAAAGGATTCTGCCAAAATTGTCTAGCTTCACTTGAATTCTTGATTAGGGGTAGAAAAAGTGCAACAAGTTCTTCAGCTTGTATCATGGAATTCATTGGCTCCTACTGAATGTGATAGTTCAGATGCCTTTCCGGCTGTAATGCTCAGTGGTAACCCAGAGCAGTTGGCATCTCACACAAACTGTGTGCTAATCACCTGAGGATTTGTTTTGTTGATTTCTTCTACAATAACAGCCTGAAACTGATTACTTTCATTTTTCAGAATATGTAATTGAGACCTGAGAGATGCTAGATGAGTAGCCCAAGATCACGCAACACATTAGTGGCAGAACCCAAATTCTAGGCCAGGTGTATCTCCAGGTACCACATTCTTCACCATAACACCCTGGAGCTTCTCTGTCCAACAGATGTAATGAGAGCCACATGTGAAATTTTATCCTTCCAAATAGTTAAAAAAAAAAAAGGTGAATTTGCTTTTAGTAGCGTATTTTATTTAACCTAACATATACAGAATATTATTTCAACATGTGATCACCATTTAAAAAATTTCACTAACATATTTCACATTCCTTTTTTCATTCTAAGTCTTCAAAACTCAACTGTGTTTCATACTGACAGCATATCTCAGTTCAAGCTAGCTACATTTCAAGGTCTCAGTAGTCATAAGACACTAGTGGCTACTGTACTGGACAGCTCAGCTGTAGGCTTTGTGTGTGGTAACAGAGGTGTTGATCACTGAGGATTTGCTAAGACTATTGCAGATTTTCCTTTGAGATGAGCAGATAGCCCTTTGTGATTGGGCTGTTCTCCGATACAGTGTGATCCAAAATGGGCAGCAGCCTTCCCTCTTCCCTCTGTCCTGATTGTAACATTCTCTTTTAAAGGTGTGTGGGTGTGTTTGGATTTGTGTATATATGTGTGTTCTCATTTTCACGATAAAATACAAAATTTATGGAATTCTTAAAAATCTAATATATAGATAATTTCATATATATGTATATATACATACACACACATATATATGTATATATATCTATATCTATATATCTATATCTATATCTATATATATATATATATATATATATGGAGAGAGAGACTGACTGTTGCCAGGGTTTGAACTCCGTCTGTTTTATCTATTTTAACTTGGGCAGTTATTTAATCTCTTCAGATATATCTTTTTATCTGTAACCTTAGAGCCTATATCTAGGCTGTTCTTAAAAGAGTACCCTGTAGGAGGGCAAAACAAGATTATGTGTTTAATATAATATCTAAGAAGTAGGAAATGATTGATCCAGTAGTCATTGTAGTGCTTGGAGTTTTTGCATGGTTACTCTCAAAGATTGATATCATCAGAGTCTGAATACAAGAGCAGAGTATACATTGTACTGAAGTCACAGTACAACCTTACAAATAGCCCAAACATTTTTTGACAGGTCACTTTCTCTGTACCTTTTAGTTTACTTTTGTCACTGTGAGGACTCGATTACTTTTGTCACTTCCTCTAAGTAGGTATATTGAGGTGTATTTTGAAGGACTGTAGGTGGGGATCTTTCCCACATTTCAACACCACATATCTTAAGGTTTATAATCTGATGCGTGGAAAGAGAGAGGAGCTTTTGATTCTTTATATAATTCTGGTGAGATTATGAGTTATTTTGATACTTTTTAAAAAATGTATAGTATTTTAGTTTTCCATAAATAAAGTAATAATAGGTCTTTATGTGAGCTAAGAATAATTTTTATTCTGTATCCCATTTAAAAATATTTTTTTGGGGCAGGCATTTGGACAGCAGTTAAGATACTACTTGAGATGCTCCCATTCCAATGGGAGTGCCAAGGTTCCAATCCTGGATCTGCTTCTATTCCAGCTTCCTGCCAGTGTGCACCCTGGGAGGCAGCAGGTGATAGGTGAAGTAGTTGAGTCTGTGCCATTCATACAGGAGGCTCAGATTGAGTTCTGAGCTCCTAGATTTAGCCTGGCTCAACCTTGGCTGTTACAGACATTTGAGGAGTAAGCCAGAAATGACTTTCAAGTAAATAAATATGTTATCTTCTTATAATTCATGTCTTAAATAATACTGGTTCAGCAGCTTATGGTGGCAGATTTCAATATACCAGCCTTGTATGTGCCCAACACCAGGGGCCTAACAAACTGGGTCTGCTCTGTTTATGATAACTAATAAAGAGCAGTCAACCATGGTGATATTACCCTATAAGATCATTGAAGTTACACATAAATGTCTGCCCATGATGTCTTTAAAATTGAACAAACAGGTGGTTATTTGTCACTGAGGTAAGAAATGGACAAGTCATCCCATATTTGTAATTTGCCTTCAGTCTGAATCACTGGTCTGTGGAAGATTTAAGGGTATATTCATTTTCTTCCCTCTCTGAGCTAACCTTATTCCTGTCTATCCATTCCTGTGCAGAGGTTATTACATAATAATTGTGCCTTTGAAGAAATCTCGTGGGAAATTTATCAAGCCATGGGAGAGTCCCGATGAAATGGAATTAGATGAGGTAACTATGTCTTTGTTGTCTGTGTCTTTCATTAGCTATTAAATGTATTAAATATCTCCTCCTCCCTATGGAGGCCTTTCAGAATCTTATCCTCGAGCCGGCTTCTGTACAGCTGGCTGACTGGAAGGTTCAATTCTGTTGGGTGCACTAACCTATAGGGACCCCAACAAAGCTGCTCTTGCTTTAATTAAAAGGCATTAAGTGCAGCAAAGCTTCCAAACTGTCTAATCTTTGTTGGCCTTAATATTTTGCCCCTTACCCCTTGTAAAACATGTTGCCAAGGTGTGGGAGGTGAAATGAATTGTCAGCAGAGACTTAATCACTATTGATATGAATTCCAAGGACCTTTATTAATTTTAGTTTGATGGTTGCTAAGAGTTTCATGAATGCTAAATTGTGCTTTGCAGCTGAGTTCATTTGACCTACTACGTGGTCTTGCCCAGATCCTCAAAGAATTCTGTTTGTTTTTTTTTTTTTTTTTTTTTTTTTTTTTTTTTTAACTTTTATTTAATGAATATACGTTTCCAAAGTACGAATAATGGATTACTATGGCTTCCCCCCCATACCGTCCCTCCCACCCACAACCCTCCCCTTTCCCACTCCCTCTCCCCTTCCATTCACATCAAGATTCATTTTCGATTATCTTAATATACAGAAGATCAGCTTAGTATACATTAAGTAAGGATTTCAACAGTGTTGCTCCCCACACAGAAACATAAAAGTGGAAAAATAAGTAGGATGATTGTTTTTAATGATGATGAAATCAGATCAGACCTATTGGTCATGGTTTAATCCCAGGGGAGGAGTCAAGGTGGGGAGTGACAGGTTCGATCATTTCCTTTTTCGTATCACAGTGGTCTTGACGGAGGATCAGGTTAGGTATGCATTAAGTAAAGATTTCAACAGTTTGCACCCCCATAGAAACACAAAGTGAAATATATTATTTGAGTACTCGTTATAGCATTAAATCTCAATGCACAGCACATTAATGACAGAGATCCTACATGAGGAGTTCCAGAATTCTGTTTGTTAGGAAATGTTTGCCTTATTGCATATTCTTTAGGTTTCAGAATAAAAAAATGCTTTTAACTGCAGAATGAAACCAAACAAATCACAAAATTGTGAACACAGCAAGAAATATAGAAAAAAGAAATAAACAAATACTAAGTAGCATAATTTTCATTTGCAAAGTCTTGCAACTATAGGTGCATTTTAATTACTACCTCTTGCAAAAAAGCATTTGTGGTTTATCATGCAGGTTCATATATAATATGAGGAATGAGACTTAATTATTACATATTCCTATTTAGGTAAGGAAACTATGGTCCAGAAATGTTAAGCCAGATCCCTGGATAGCCACAGCAAGTTAATGGCTGAGATTCATATTAGAAATGACAGGATAGACTTTATTGTTATTTTTTTAACTTTTATTTAATAAATATAAATTTCCAAAGTACAGTTTATGGATTACAGTGGCTTTCTCCCCCCATAACTTCCCTCCTACCCGCAACCCTCCCATCTCCCGCTCCCTCTCCCATCCCATTCACATCGATTCATTTTCAATTATCTTTATATACAGTAGATCAATTTAGTATATATTAAGTAAAGATTACAACAGTTTGCACTCACACAGAAACACAAAGTGTAAAGTACTGTTTGATTACTAGTTATACCAGTGATTCACACAGTACAACACATTAAGGACAGATCCTACATGGGGAGAAAGTGCACAGTGACTCCTGTTGTTAATTTAACAATTGACACTCTTGTTTATGGCCTCAGTAATCACCCAAGGCTCTTGCCATGAGTTGTCAAGGCTATGGAAGCCTTTTGAGTTCGCCAACTCCAATCTTATAGTCAAAGTGGAAGTTCTCTCCTCCCTTCAGAGAAAGGTACCTCCTTCTTTGATGGCCCATTCTTTTCACTGGGATCTCACTCACAGAGATCTTTCATTTAGGTTGGTTGGTTGTTTTTTGTTTGTTTGTTTGTTTGTTTTTGCCACAGTATCTTGGGTTTCCATGCCTGAAATACTCTCATGGGCTTTTTAGCCGGATCTGAATGCCTTAAGGACTGATTCTGAGGCCAGAGTGCTATTTAGGACATCTGCCTTTCTATGGGTCTGCTGTGTGTCCGCTTCCCATGTTGGATTGTTCTCTTCTTTTTAATTCTATCAGTTAGTATTAGTAGACACTAGTCTTGTTTATGTGATCCATTTGACTCTTAATCCTATCATTATGATCAATTATGAACTGAAACTGATCACTTTGATTAGTGAGATGGCATTGGTAAATGCCCCCTTGATGGGATTGAATTGGAGTCCCCAGGCAAGTCCGATTGAGCATGTGCCAAACTGTACATCTCCTCCCTCTCTTATTCCCGCTCTTATATTTAACAGGGATCACTTTTCAGTTACATTTTAAACACCTAAGAATAATTGTGTGTTAAAGAGTTCAACCAATAGTAATAAGTAGAACAAAAAAAAAAATACAAAACGGGATAAAGTATTAAGTTGTTCCTCGACAGTCAAGTCATGGGCTGATCAAGTCATTGTTTCTCATAGTGTTCATAACATGATGCTGTTTTGAAATAATTCATAAGATAGATAACAAGGCACCCATTTGGGGATCTGTGAGATTAATTTATTGGGTTTATTTACAATACAGGCCCCATCTCACAACGCAACCTGTTAATTTTTTGGTATTTTCTCTACATGAGAATAGTGTAACTGGAGCAAGAAAGAATACCTTCCCTAAGTGCATTACAGGAAGGTGATGTTTATTTCATAGATGACTGCACAGAGGAGACTGATCTGACAAACGAGGCTGTTAGCTTCCTTTGGCAGACATTGGTCATCTCGAGTGAGACTCATCATCACCTGCTTCATTTATCTGAGTTAGATTTGATCAGATTCAGAAGGGGAGATAGGTTCAAGGGTAGAAGTATCCTTTTGTGCCTCTGTGTAACAATTAGATGATCATTGGAGAGGTGAAAAATGAGACTTAAATCCAATAACGTTGTCAAGTGATTTACATATGTTATCATTTTCAGCTTTTTTTATGTTGTTAATAAAGCAACAAAAGCACTATTCTGTAGTGTTGAAGGAGTAGTAATCCTTAATCTGAAGATGTAAAATGATCAGCTGATGTCTTAAGAATTTTGAAGCAAGATGTAATTTTACTTGCAACTGACTAATCATTTAATCCTATGATGGCCTTTACTATTTTAATTCATTCTCAGCTGAATTACAGAATTGTCACCAACCCATTTTAGTTAAAATTGGATTTAAAATGCAAAGGCAACTTTTAAAATTATGAATCCACCTATTAAGTTCTTTTCAAAGCAATAAGATTCAATCCAAAATGATATCAAATACTTTTAAAGAAGGAGCTTTCATTAGAAGTAAAGCCATTCAGTGGTAAGTAATAGGAAGTGATTCTCTTTTACAGCCAGGTTTTAACCTCCAAAATGCACAGAAATGCTAATGGATTAAAGTATAGGGCTATGTGACATTGAACTTCCTTGCAATTAAATTCTACAGGTCTGTGCTGCTGATTCCCATAACAAAGGGTCATTTTAATCATCCCAAAAGTTGTGGTGCATTAATCTGTATAATAGTTTGATAAAGAACATTTTATTAATTCAGAATTTTTGGGTCAGGATGGGTTGTTTCCCACTTTTCTTACTGATATAATTGAGACCACATTGTAGAATTAATGGTGGAAGAAATAAGATATGCATTGACTGGAAAATGAAAATTATTTCTGATAAAGAACTAAAGTCCTTGATATATCTTCTGGAATTACTTTCAATATATCTTGCAACTATTGTGGAGGGGAACAAATGCAAGTAGGCTATGGCCTCACTTTATGCTTACTCATCCAGTCTCTGATCCCTACAGACAGGTTTTTTCCTTAATCTTTTCCTACCATGGATAATAAAAGCATTGTATTAATTTTATCTATAGCTCAGTAGCTAGATTTGACAAAGTAGTGTTCCTCTCCTAAGTGTATTTGACCAAGTAAATTTTCAGAAAAGCCTATAATTCAAATTGTTGAAACTATATCATCAAATAGACTGTTGGCCTAAGGGGATTTCCACATGTATGCCTCACATCTAGGCCCATAAAAAATTGAAAGAGGCTTTCTAAACAGAGTTACTCTCAAAATTATCTTCTGAGCTCATTTATCCTTTGTCTCAGGATGCTGTCTGCGTGATAAATGCATAGACTGAAATGCCGATTGTCAAGGTCAAACAGGGAAGAGTGGACATTGATAGTCAAAATGAATTTTAGGCAGAATGACTCCCAAAATGATAGTTAATTCAGAGACAGTCCTGTCATGTATCATATGCTTTTCATTGCATTGTGCTTGAAATGTTTGTTGTAAAATAGTGTGGTCATTTGTGATTGTAACTTTAATATACTGACTAATTTTGGTGTCATGGTGAGCTCAGCTAAACCATTTACAGCATAACTCAGGAAGTGTCCTACAGAGATTAGAGCAACCTAAAGGGGCAGGTTGATGTTCCGGGTTTGACCTGAATGAGTGACTGCAATGGATCCCAGGGGCATCCAAAAAACTCAACTATTTTATTTTGAAGTACTACCTCTAAATTTTCTAAAGAAATCCTAGCAAAAGGTACTCATGGGAATGACAGTGATATGGATGAATTATGACAGTTGCCTACATCTGAAATATGAATAAAATCAAGGTAGGGTTTGATCAGTGAAGCAGAAGAGGGGACATAGTCACATAAACAGCTGATGGTAAATGTTTTTGATTACTCAACTTCAAAAAGCTGTTCAGCTCATCTGCAGGGCACCTCTCAAAGTAATGGGCTACCATCATTTACTGAATATCAACCTTTTAAATGACTTTTCAAGTGTGATATTGCATTAAATGTTTGGCATCAGATTTTTTAAAAATTAGCATGTTAAAAGAATCCAGGAAAAGGAAATAACATTCATCTGTGTTAATGAAAGCAGATGCACAACAATTATATGTCCAAATACTGAGTTAAAAAGAATTTAGATTATGAAAGTTTAAACACAGCATTTATGATTCCTTGATATTGTATAAGCATTGAGAAAATAAAAATATGCTTGAAAAATCTCTTACATGCAATTTCATTTTATTACAATATTGGAGTCTAATCATGCATTGTGATTTTCTATTGTGTCTCACTTTCCTTATTTATAAAATAAAGATAATATTGACTTACCTCGCTTACACAGGGTTATTATGAGGAGTAAAAGAACTAATCCATTTTAAGGCCCTCTAGAACAGTGTTTGGCAACTAGTGACTGCCTAGTCAGTGGTTACTATTACCATCATTGCTATCATTATTGTAAGTAGATCTAAATATAACAACAGAGTTGAAAGATAGTGCTGATCTTCTAGACTTCTTTTTTAATCGACCAATCAGTGCATAATTGGTCAGCCTGCCTGATTTTATCATTACTTTGTCCAAATTTTATACTCAAGCAATATCTTATATACTGTGGATTTCATAAAATGGTTTATATTTGATGTAATTTTAATTATATTCATAAACTCAAATTTCACTGAAAATTTTAGAACATTATACATTAAACACTATTCAAGAATAATATAGGCCGGCGCCGCGGCTCACTAGGCTAATCCTCCGCCTAGCGGCGCCGGCACACCGGGTTCTAGTCCCGGTCGGGGCGCCGGATTCTGTCCCGGTTGCCCCTCTTCCAGGCCGGCCCTCTGCTGTGGCCCGGGAGTGCAGTGGAGGATGGCCCAGGTGCTTGGGCCCTGCACCCCATGGGAGACCAGGAAAAGCACCTGGCTCCTGGCTCCTGCCATCGGATCGGTGCGGTGCGCCGGCCGCAGCGCGCCGGCCGCGGCGGCCATTGGAGGGTGAACCAACGGCAAAGGAAGACCTTTCTCTCTGTCTCTCTCTCTCACTGTCCACTCTGCCTGTCAAAAAAAAAAAAAAAAAAAAAAGAATAATATAGGCAGGAATTATCTATGTACCCAAAGGTGTTTTCTTTACATTTTTAAGGCACCATTTTGAACCAACTGAATATCTTCATGACTTTCAGTCCAGAAGAGGCTGTAGTGCAACAGAGGAACCCTAAGAGAAGGATTCAGTGTTTATCATATAGACAGCCTGCAGCTATTATTATCACAGAACCTTGGCCTTAGTTAAGCTAGGACCTCTGTCTACTCAATAGATGTCAGTATTTTGGTGTTTACTGTATGAGGACGCTTCAAATAGTTTATGGAAGAATGGAATTAAAAGATAAGTTCATCTGAGTACAAAACAAACTTGAAATTTGTGTGTACTTTTTCATAATATGCATTTTCCATGAACTTTTTGAAGACCCCTCATATCATTTCTACTTAAAAAAATGAGTAGTTAATACTTTTGTGGCGATGTGTCCTTAAGTACTTATTGTTATCAAGATACAGAGTTTATTCTTTTTTCCATTTCTCCTCTGATACATAGTCTTATCTACACAGACTTTTTTTTTTTAAATGTTGATTTAGTTTCATCTACTTGAAAGGCAGAGTGATGGAGAGAGAGAGAGAGAGAGATATTGAGAGATTGAGATCTCTTCCATTAAGGTTCAGTCCTCAAATGCCCACGATTGCCAGAGCTGGACCAGGCCAAAGTCTAGATGAATTTCATTCAGATCCCATTCAACTAGTTGATGATCATCTTTTGTCTCCCAATATGCATTAGGCAGAAGCTGAATCATAAGTGGAGTAGACACACTGGAGTTACCAGTTTAGTATGCAATGTGGGTGTCCGAAGTGCCAGCTTAACCTACTGGGACTGAATATCCAAACCAACACATGCATTAAAACAAATACAATTTTAAAAAATTTTAGAGATCATTAAAAACATGTTGTTTCCCTCAAAAGCCATTCCAGACTCATATAGACTTTCTCCCTGTTGAATCCTAAAAATACTAATATTTGATGGGAGAAGACCAAAGTACTTTCACATCATTTTGAAATGAAAGGTCATAACATATCATCAGTAGTTATCTCCTAACAAAATCAGTGTTGCCTGCAACAGTGACATCCCATATGGGTGCTGATCCCAGTCTCCACTGCTCCACTTCAGTCCAGCTCCCTGTAAGTGACCTGGATGACCCAAGTGTTGGGCCCTTGCCACTCATGTGGGAGAGCCAGATAAAAGGCTTGGGTTCTGGCTTTGCCTTGTCTCAGCCCTAGCCATTGTGGCCATCTCGGGAGTTAGCCAGCAGATGGAAGATCGATCTCTCTCTCTCTGTCTCTCTGTTTAACTGAAAGCCCACCACAGAACACAAAAACAGTTTTAATATAGCCTTACAGAGATAAGGAAGTGGTAGTAAATTCTGTTGGGTGGGGTGAAGGCAACACATATGGTTGTGCCATTGGATCTCTTGATTTCTGGTACACCAAACTGGACTTAGGAAACTGAAACTTTTATTGGAGAAACCAAAACTTATTTTATGGGGTAGTGACTGACCCAGGCCTAAGATGGCCCCCAAGGCTTCAGATGGCACATCTCAGACAAAATGGTTCCAGTTTCACAAACAGTAACTTTTTCAAATAAGTTTTTTTAAAAGAAGTACAAGAAGGATCTGTAAATATGTGTGTATGTTTATGTAGTTCAGATTAATTTTTTAAATCTGTCTAGCCTACATCAAACACCCAGCAATATATTTAGATTCCGCAGAGCTAAAAAATTGACTACATGGTAAGATGTGAGAAATCAAACCCCATTTGCTTAATAAAGGAGACATGTTAATTGAGAAATTAAGTGAGGGACATCTATTTAATAAATAAATAATTGTTTATAGGAATCTTCATCTGCTGATTTCAGAGAATATGCTTTGTTTGATTATCTATTTAATAAAAACAAGCTAAAATGGTACTGACCTCTCCTAAAATTCAGTTATATTTGAAGGCTTAGATGGCTTCATCCTGGATTAGTACTTCTTTAATAAATCTTCTGCAAAGCAAGTCTTTTATGAATCAGCTGACTGTTTCCCTAGACCAGTTATGATGCGCTATTGGCCTTTGAAAGAATTTCATTAGTATAGGAAATGATATGAGCTACAAGTCCTGTGTTTGCACCCAGAGTCTGGCTTTGTAGCCTGAGTCCAGTATCTCCTCTTAAAAGAAAGGCAAAAGTTAGATGGGGAGATTTGAGATTTAGTGATGCTGATGTGCTACTGAAACACAGGCAAATTAAATTTGAATAGTTTCCAGTAATGAATTAATCTTTGGCATTAAATCATCCATAAGTTAGATTGTTGTTTATAGCTCTTGTTCTGTTTCCCACTTTCCCTTTAAGCTGCTTAAGGAGATATCTAGGAAACGCAGAAGCATCCGTTACGGGAGAGAAGTTGAATTGAAGCCATATATTGCAGCTCACTTTGATGTCCTGCCCACTGAGTTCACCCTGGGGGATGACAAGCATTATGGTGGATTTACAAACAAGCAGCTCCAGAGTGGTCAAGAATATGTCTTCTTTGTGTTAGCAGTGATGGAACATGCAGAATCTGTAAGTCCGTTATGATGGTATCTGTTTCCTATGACATGCTTATACATTTTCTCTAGTAGTGTATGGTTATTTGTAGATATGTAGTTATATCCATCATAATTATTTCTCATGAGCTGTCATTAACTAAAGTGTAATAACAGGCTGCCAACACATCCAGCATTGCTGAGTATAGTACTTGAGACTGTATTAGAAATAAGACCATGTCTGTGATGACAGGGAATGTAAGTGAACTTGTAGTACAAGAAGTGCCAGATTGATAGGACCCAGGTCTGGAGACTTTCAGTGGAGCAAACACCATCATCACTGCTTACAGTCATGCTCCCCTATCCTTTTAAAATGATTGTTCTAAAAAAAAATTCATCTGGATATTATCTGATAGACCGGAGCCCAGATGATTACAATGGGAACTAGCAAGCTCTGCAGTCGAGCAAACTGTTTTCCAACTATTTGAAAACATTGACTTTTGTGGTGATTGTACTTAGTCTCCTATTACTTGCAGTGAGAATGCAGTGCCCCTACGCAAGGGAAAATCTGTCCAGGGAAAGGCAAGCACAGCCAGTTTCCTTAAGTATAGCAATTTAGAAGGAACTTTATTAGTAAAAAAACAAAAACAAACAAAAAAAAAAAAAACAAGAAAGTTAGAAAATAATTCAATAAAAGAATTCCTGAGGTACTCTAAGTAATGAGTTGTCTTCTGTCTTCTTTGATGGAATTCATCTTGCTCTTATATTTTGTACTTCAGTTGCTTTGAATGTTTAAAAAGAGAGAAATCATTGTTGGGGAAGGGTGGTGGATTTTGAAGTCAGTTCACAATAATGTGTAAATATATATTTTGAACTACATTTTTCTAGTCGGGGTCTAAATCTGACAGAGGTGGCAACTCATCTGAGCTAGTCACTTCCTATATATAAGAAATCGAGAAAAAAATCCATGTTCTGCCAATCAGGTATTAAGTGTGTACAGTGGGCGTCCCACAAAAGACTGATGGTTTTCCCCGGCAGAAAATCAAAACATAAAGACAACCGCTTTGCCTTGTTTGCCTTTATGAGCAGAAAGTCATTTAAATACAAAGTGATGGCATTCCCATAATTTTAATATATCAAGGTACTTTCTCTTTCTAGTTAAAGGTTTTAAGTAGAACATCAAAGATATGAGATATTGGAAACTACCTTTTTTTAAAAAAAAAAAACACTTAAATGCTTAGAAGTTTGAAATTTTTTTTCTTTAAATAGCTCTAGAAACATTTCAGAAATCTCAGAGCATTGAAGTAGATCAGAGAAATCAGGGGGAAAAAAAAGAAAAAAAAAACAAATGTCTCTTCTGATCATGCTCAATGACTATATCATTCTCAGACTATGGTTTCTGAAGTCTCTCAGAAGTTTCCAATAATGCTTAAATGTGTCATCATCAATGAAAAGTCTAGCCCTTCCCCTTAGGGTGTCTTCTCACAGTCCCATTAAGTATAGAATTAGGATATTTTTTCAAGTATGTTATCTAAATTTCCCCTTTGATAATGTTTCTCAGCATTGCTTTTAAATAATCATCTTATGATCCATGCATATTTTAGGGCAGTATTAACGTAGTGGAAGAGACTTGCATGCAGAGTCTGATGTTTTCAGTGATTCAGTCCTTTATTAGGCCTCAGCTTTCCATGGCTCACTGTGTTTTGCATAACCACCACAAGGCTAGACTGGCAATTTTCAGAAATACAACATTTCTCTTCCTAATCCCGATCGTCAAAAAGACACAAACTTCCTGAAAATCCATTGTCTCATTTTACGAATTTCAGAGAACTGATTTAGAATGATCTAAAATTTATTCTCTTCTATTTTTTACACATAACAAATAGTACTTTTCATGAGGCTAATATCATTTTATGGCTTTGTTTATATTTTTATATATCCCTGATTTGAGTTGGAAATCTGTGTGTTTTGGGGAAAGAAGGTTGCTTAGATTTCCATCTCCATCGACCCAGATTAGTATTTCTAAGGCTCTTGGTAAAGATTTTTAAATCAGAAAGTTTTGCTTACTCTGTCTGCCAGTCGTTTGAATGCAACCTGTAACATGGAGGTGGGAAAATATGAATCAAAGCCTTTATATTTATATAGAGAATCTATTATGCTTATTTAAAGAATCATGTTTATTGGATATAGAATCCTCCAGGCCCCTTGTCTAAATCCTTACACATCTTTTTTTTTTTTTTTTTGTCTTTCTGTGCCTATCTGCCTGCCTGCCTTCCTTCCTTCCTTCCCTTCTTAGCTGTTTCCAAGAATGTTGGAAATATGTACTAAGTTTCCATGTTCTTACACTGAAATAAAACATGTGAAACACTAGTCATTCCATTTCCTAGACTCAATGAAAAAAAATGGGGAGAAAGAGTAAAATTGAAGCATTTAGTGAAATGTATTCTTCCTGCTTGATGGCTGAGCTTGGAAGAGTTAAATTCAGAATATATGCCCTAAACTAAGTTTTTAAAAGATGAAAGTTTAAAATTAAATGTATTTACTGTTCATTAAAAGTAAGCATGTAAACTTAGGTCGTGATCTCAGCCTTTTGACAAGATGACTGTTTCATCTTATTTAGTAAAGATTTGCAGAGAACCTACTAAGTATGAAGTTCTGTGGTAGCTGTGTTAAGCATGTAAAAATTTATAAATCCCTACCTTCTAGGACTTTACAGTTTCATTAAGGGAAAGGAAGCATATACTCAAACTAAAAAAAAAAATAGATTTTGGTTGGAGCCATTAAAAAGGGAATATGGAACTAAATTAAATTGTGTCATTTATTATTTTTACCTATATTTTTTGGAATGACAAATTATTTCCCATTACAAAGAGGTGGCCTCAATAGGTCAGTTTAAGTAGGGCCTTGGAGAATAGTTGAATTTTAGGAACTAAATGTTACGAAACTTGTGAGGGAGTTAAAGAGAGAGAATAGAGCGTATGGAGAATAGTAGCAAGAAGTTCTCTGTGATGGAATATATTGTATGTGGTAAGGACGTTTAAAATTAAATCAAGGAGTCCCTTGAGATCCATGTTAAGATATCTGTGTTTTCTCTGGGTATTGCCAGAGACCCTCTGGAAGGCTTTATTTACAGTGGCAGTTTAGGACAGTAACTGTCCTAAACTAGATGAAGGAAGAAACTCTTGACATGGCTAGGAGAGCATGAATGAGGCTCTGAAGAAAAGTGCTACCATGAGACTTTAAAGAACAGATGCACCTTAGGGTCCCTGACATGGTAAAATCAGTAGCTTCCTCTCCTGGAGACTGAAAGGATAAAAGCAGTTGTGAAGTCAGGAGACAGGTGTTTCCACAAACAGGAAAAATATACACTTTACCATGCATCTATATAAGAATCTCCAGAAACCACTGAAAATTAAGAGGTGGGACTTAGTAGAATTTCTGAGTTTAAAGAACTGTGTGCATATAGGCTGTCTATCCCTCTCTCTCTCTAACTTTGCCTATCAAATAAATAAATAAATCTTAAAAAAGAGAGGTAAAGACTGAATAGACAATGAAACCTGACAAATAAGAGAATAGGACCAGTGGTGGCATTGTAGTGAGTGGTGCAAGAAGCAAGGTAGTCAGTGGGAGTGGATTAGTCTATATTGGAGTTGGAAAGTTAAAGGAAGAGAAAGGACCTTAAGAGGCAGTCAAGGGCATGCTTTTCTTAGATAGGCTAAAGCAAGACACAACAAAATAGAATATTATGTAAATAAATTTTACAGATATTCATTCTGCTCCTTTACCAAGTAACTATATTTCCTTTTTTTTAAAAAAAATATTTATTTATTTTGAAAATCAGAGTCACAGAGAGGGAGGGAGAGACAGGGGAGGAGATGGGGTGGGGGAGAGAGAGAAAGAGATCTTCCATCAGCTAGTTCACTCCCAAGATGGCCACAACACCTAGGGCTGGGACAGGACAAAGCCAGGAGCTAGGAGCTTCATCTGTGTCTCCACAAGGGTGCCAGCGGCCCAAACACTCAGGCCATCTTTCTCTACCTTTTCCATGCCATTAACAGGGAGCTAGATCCAAAGTGGCACAGCTGGAACTTGAAGTGGCCCCCATATGGGAAACCAGTGTCCCTGGTACTGGCATTTGTAATGCTAAAACACTGGCCTCAACTAACTGTATTTTCAAAAAACGTATTTATTATCAATTATCTATTCAAACAAGCATACCAACCTCTCAGCTGTAGCTGTAATAAATTTAAATGTGAACTGCTAAATCCTTTGAAGTTCTAAAAATTCTGTTTTAGAAGGCCATGTCATCATTCCCGTTCATCTAGCCTCCATATTGGGAACATTGTAATTCTCCTTTAACCTCATGGTCTCTCTATAGTTTGGCCTTCATTTCCTAGCTAATGTACAGAAGTAAGGAGTCCTGATGTAGTCTAATATTTGATTAAATACTACCTCACTTGTTTTACTCTGTGAGTGCTTGCTTTTTTGTCCTCTTTAACTGGGGTTCCCCTTACCTGAACTGCGTGGGAGGACCAGAAGATTTCAGAGGTTTTTGGATTTTGGATTATCTGCAAAGAATTTACTGATGCAGTACCTCTAAGCCCAAAATGCTATGAAATTATTAGAAAAGTGGCAGATTTTGGAGCATTTCAGGTTTCAGATTTTCAAATAAGGAAATGTCCAACCACTAATGTTTTCAGCACTGGAACTCACTTTTCTTGAATTCTCATAGCACCTAAGACATTGATATAATGCACCTTCATTCAGTGTTTTGTACTATGTAATCACTGAAGCTTTAGACTTCATAAGATTGTTTAATACAGCTTGTATAGAAACTGATGAAAGTATCTGTTAAGAAATATGTTACCAAAATGGGTTTGTTTTAAAATATTTCACTCTGAAAGCAAGCTTATATTGCAAAACACCTTCCTTTTCTCATTTTTTACTTCTCTTTACCCATCTATTTTACAAACATTGCTTCAGATACTTATTAAAACCACTCTGTCCTGGACATTCCTCTTCTAATGCTAGAGAAATTCTGGAAAGCCGTAATTTCGTAACTAATACAGACTCTGCTTTTCCTCAGAAGATGTATGCAACCAGCCCCTACTCTGACCCCGTTGTGTCCATGGATTTGGATCCACAGCCCATCACAGATGAAGAAGAAGGCTTGATCTGGGTTGTAGGTCCCGTCCTTGCAGTGGTCTTTATCATCTGCATTGTCATTGCTATTCTTCTTTATAAAAGGTAGGTTTGTCTGCTATTTTTATTGCAATTTTTGATGTTGCCTTATTTTTGAAGCCTTGATCATTGTTGATTTTAGCACAGATATTTCAGTGAAGCCCTGATAATTATGGAAAATATTTCCATTCCAGTTAGAACACATGTAAAGATGGAGCTTGGTGGTAGAATATTATTCAGTATATGGTCCAGATTTTTGTTGTCCAGCATATATATATATATATCCTATCCTATCCATCTTCTGAGCTACTTCATGTAGGATGAGCATTTTTCATGACAGTTAAGACATTAGTATGTTCACAAATAAATAATTTCATACCACCTTAAAGTTGATCACTAATTTAGATGAGGAGTTGCTGCACTTCAACCTATTTTTTGAAATAATTTTGCCCATTTGTATCCATTTCATAAGTCTAATTTCCGCATATACTTATCTCCAGGGACATTTTTCTAAAAATTTAGCAAAATTGGCTAAAAATTAAAGATTAAAGAAGAAATCAAAGGAGAGATGTAAAATAATTCTCTGACTTTTCTTTTAACCCTTACACCATATATCCAGTAGGAAATTATCAGTTATGCACAAGAAAAGATGGGAAGATATCATTGTCCTTTTTAAAACTATATTTAACCTAAGCATTTATACTAGTTAGTGCCAATCTGATTAATGTCTTTGATTATAATTGGGATGCAGATAATCCATATCTACTCAATACTTTCTAATCTTCCTTTCTTTTTCAATTCTTTTTCTGCCTCTATTACATATAAGCAAGAATATTTTCCTAGGTTACTGCCACATCATTTGGATGGGGTGGACATTATTAATATTTACCCTAAATATGCTGACTTGAAGCTGTAATTATTATAAAAGTATAGCATTATTACAATTAACATTTGAGTATATGATATACTATATTTAACATTTACAATGACCAAATTCTGAATTTTCTCCCTTAAATAAATTTCTCTTTTCTTCCAAAGTTTTGTTATCATAAAACTTTAATCTGTGTTTGCATTTTCCTTTGTTGTATATCATGTCTTGGAGTGATACTATGAGGATGATCTCTGCCCTCTACTGTAAGATCACTTCTCTCTCCCTCTTCCTTTTCCTCACTCTTATACAGCACTGGCCCTCAAATCAAATGAGAGTGTCTTGGGTTTTATTCTTGCTTACATGTATAATCTGATAATCTTGTTTTCACTGATTATTTTTCCTACCTTTGTAGCTGCCTTTGGGGATTTATTTAAGTATTTCTACCTGAATGTCCTTGTTCTCTTGTTCCTGTAATGGTTCCCTCTTCCCCCTCCAAGCTTCTTAATTTTTTTTTTCTTATCTTGATCTTGACACTTGAAAACATCCTTCAGAACACTTCTCCTTTGACACACTTTCTCTTTTAAGGCCCTATTCTATTTTATTCCAGTGTGAAGAGAAGGCTGAAAAAATAAAAGACAAATGAAAGAAGTTCATTACTATAACCCATTGAATTCCCTAGCTTGTTTTAGAGTTAAAAGAATGAATGAAATATACAGTATTATTTTTCTCTGTTCACTGCCATCATTCAGTTACCCAGGCATGAAATAGATGAAAAGTCAAGCCATTGAAGGCCAAAATCTCTTCATAGTTGATGCCTGCATCTTCCCATCTAAATCCACACCTTATCGGTATATATCTTAAGCCTCTTGTAGTCTACCACCTCTCTCTGTTGTACGAGGTTAGGGCCAGAAGCCAGAGTCCTGTTTCAATAAAAGCAGGATCTGGTGACCTTTGCTGTGTGTGTTGCACTTACTACAGAGAATGCAATAATTTAAAAAGCAGAAGTAGAATTCTAATTGTTTTCTGGGAAACATTCATTCAGGTGATCACACCTTACTATGTAAGTCAGATCAAGAAACAAGCCCTTGTTGACAGGAGCCTTTTTAGGTCCTAACATCTGACATTTTGTTATTATTCAAAATAATCAAAATCCATGCCTCCTTTTTAAAGTTGTGTTTCTTTCAGGTATACCTGGTTGATCTTAACTCATTCCACTTAACAGAATGTTTATGATCTGTGTGAATAATTTATATAAATGGGAAGAAATATATCCCTGATAATTTGAAATAAATGATAATTAGGTTTTCATTTCTTCATCTGCACATGCTTGAAAAACCTCAGTTATTTTTTCCTACTCCTGCAAAAAAAAAATGGTTTTATGACTCTCTTAAAAGAGAGTTGCATTTTAGCGTGTGCATAGTAAGCATCGTCTAATGCAATTGTTGGAAAATGCGCACATGCTAGAATGCTAAGTATATTTAGCTAACCATCTGAAGGCCCATGAAGCATTTCTGAAATAGAAATGCTTGCTTCAGCAGTAAAGAACATTCCTGACTTGAAATTCAAGTAGACCCAACAATGTCCTTCTTGATTATCATGAGGCAGTTCAAGAGGAAATCTTCCGTACCCAATGAATAGTGTCGCTTATAGCGTGGATTCTGAGCAAAGTTAATTATATAGTAAATACTGCATTCACTCTTCTTAGGTGCCTTTCATTTCTTACACAGGTCATTGGTGATGACTGTTGTTATTATTACTACTATTATTAATATTGAAGTATTGTAACTCCTATATGCAAATATTGCTTTTAGAATAAAATGAGAATAAAATATTGTTGACTCACATCACTTTGGTAATCCCCTGTATTACATACACCTGCTTGCAGACACATTAGAAATAGGTCTGAAGGGATGAGTGAATTGCCCATGTAATGAAGTGTTTTTATCCTGCTCTCTTGAGGAAACATTAAGACTTACTCTGGTTAATTAATGTGGAAGTGGCATACTCTTTGATATAGCATTGTGTTCATTTAACTACTAGTATGCATACCAAAAATTCATTGATAATTAATAGCAAAAAATCACAGACGATTTATAAGGGCCCTAAAATACCTCCTGAATAATCAAAAAATTTAAAAATATCTTTGGTATGTTTTTAGTGTTAAAAATCTTACACTGTGACTTTTTTGAAATTTTTTTACTCTAAATGGGATTTGTACAATGACTTAAAATGTCATTACAGAGATAAGGTGGTAGGTTTAGATAACTAAGAATTAGAAAAAACACTGTGTTAGGATTCAGGAAACTTGAGTTCAAGTCCCAGTTCTATCATTAGCTGGCTATCCAGGATAGAAGGTCATGCCAACAGTCTAGACCTAGATTTCCTCATTTGTAAAGTAAATTGGTGGACTAGATAATAAAATGTGTTGAAAATATTCCTCTGTAATCAGAAATCATTAAAATATGGTAATATAACTAGTACTATAATGTTATATGATATTATTACTTCATATATGTATGCATGTATGAAATATGAATCCAGGCCATCCTTCATCCATTTACCCTGCAAAACAAAAACAAAAACAAAAGATCCATAAGGCAAGTGAAATTTCTCAGGTATTCATCTACCCTGTGTATCTGTTACATATATAAGATGTTCCATTAGTAGCTCTTAAACTGCATAAGAATTGTTATATAAAAATAATCACTTAAAAACAAATGTTAATCTGATTCTATGAAGAAAACTTGAAGATAGATATAATAATATATAATATAATATAATAAATATAATAAAAAAGGAAAGTGTGGATTAAGAGGTGGTACATGCAGAAGGAACACATTAGGCAAAATTAACATCTTTGAATGGTCACAGCCTAGCATGAATGGACACTGTGGAGATAATAAATCATTTCTGTTCCCACTGTAACACATTAGAGGTCATAAGATTGATGTAACTAAAATATAAATGTCAGCTTTTTCAGGATTTCCCAGCTCCAACACTGGCTCGCTATGGTCTTTGCCTCTTGAGTCTTCTTTTTGTAACAACTCTACATAAATTTCCAAACTTTCATCAAAGAAAGATAGTCTGGAGTATTTTTGAGATGCTTTGAAGAAAAAGCATCACAAGATGGACATCTGGGATGGATGTCAGTTAAGATGCTGTTTGGGACACCTGCCCCCTTTATCAAAGTGCCTGGGTTCTAGTCTTGGCCTCACTTAGGATTCCAGCTTCCTGTTTATGCCACCCCAGGAGACAGCAGGTAATGGCCCACGTGCTTGGGTCCATGCCAAAAACATTGGAGATGCAGACAAGTTCCCGGCTGCTGGATTTAGCCTGACCCAGCCTTGCTCTTTGGGGGCATTTGCTGAGTAAAATAGCAAATGAAAGATTAAAGATTCATTCTCTCTCTCTCTCTCTCTCTCTCTCACACACACACACACACACACACACACACACTTCCTCTCCTCTCTCTCTCTTCTTTCTCTGCCTTTCAAATAAAATAAAAATACAAGAAAAAAAATTTAAAAAGCAAGGAAAAAAACAAGCTGCCACTCCCAGCCGCACATTCTGCCTTCTGTTTGAATAGGCCCTATCCTAAACCTGAAATGTTGTTCCTTTCACTCCCCTGCCAATCCTTTGGACTGGCAGCTTCTAATTCATTTTTGGAAGTAAGCAGAGAGGCACCCTATGACATCATTCTGGGTGCCTCTCTTCTCTCCACCATCTCAAGCTGCCTTGGGTTTCCTTTTCTTAAAGAACTCTCCTATTACTGTAACTTGCCTTTTTCTTGATGACTATCTTTAAGTCTAAGGTCCTTTCTTATTCCTCATTGTTTTCTGTATGTGTACTGGAGTTGTAGGCAGAATAACATTGAATGATATAATTTATAAAAATCCAGCAGTATTAAACTCAATTCCCTATATTCGATTACTTCATCACTTGGTGTCACATTCATCTTGATTGGCAAGGCCTATAATAAAACCTTTGGCTTATAATTTAAATTTATCAGTTTTGAAAGCTTGTGCACATATTTGTACCAGGGATTTACCCATGTGTCTGATGAGGTTAGTTACAAAGAAGAGGAAGTCGATTCCACATGAGCTATGCACTTGTTTATCTGTTAAGCCTTTTAATACACTAAACTGATAAGTAGAATATGCTTTCCCACAAGTAATTCCTTGATAAATTCACTGTT